GAAGCACGCAAGCGCCTCTAGCAGCTGTCAATGAGACAGCCACTAGAGGCTCTAGAGGCTGGATTAACCCTATTATAAACATAGCAGTTTCTCTGAAACTTCTATGTTTATAAAAAAAAAGGGTTAACCCTAGCTGGACCAGGCACCCAGACCACTTCATTAAGCTAAAGTGGTCTGGGTGCCTATAGTGGTCCTTTAACAAATCTCAAACATGTTTAAAAGGCCCAATGAATGCATTAAAAAACTTAAAATATTAAATATTAAAAAAAAACATTTAGTATTATTTTGTAGTTAGGACAAATGTGCAGTGGGCAACTGCCAGGTCTTTGTGCAAGAAAGTCTTTAGAGCAAGACAAATTCCTCCATGATAAATCTATTTAATATTTAATATTTCATTTTTGTTGTCTGTGAAAAGGTAATTTTGTTCGTAGACAGGAGAGCAGACAAGATCCCAAGCATGGCCATTTACAAACTAAAATAAAGTATAATTCAGCCTGGTTGCATATTTCAGCACCTTTGTAAGTTCTTCTGTGACTTTCTTGAAGTCCTTGGTGTTCCTGCAATAAAACCGGATTGTGCAACTTGGATCCATCTTCTTAAAGGACATCTTCTTAGGGGAAGGGCAATGGAATGTCTCGAGGGGGGAAATCTATTATTTTGACATCTACAAAAGATTGGCAGCAATGAGGATCCATGTAAATCAAACTGTCATCTTGAAACCCTACGAAGTAATAGGATTGGTCGGGTTTGCCACCAATAATTCCAACAGAATACTCAAGACTTAGGATACTCTTTACAAATTCAAAGTATTCAACATTTGTTCTTTTGCCACCAAGCCTCACAGGGACCAGTATTAAAATGTCCTTGTCACTGTTCAAGTCATGTAGTTGGTCACAGACATCACCTGTATAAATTGTGCAATCTTGAGCAACATAAACTGAAATTCCTTTCAACTCTGGATCAGAGGTTTCTTCAATGGCTCTCTGCAGGAGATAAGAGACCATCACTGGGGCATACCAGTCTCTAGCCTCTTTACTGAAATTCGTACTGTGAAAAACTCCCCTTTTCCTGTGAGTTTGCAACAACTTTTTGGAGAAGCCTGTTTGCCAGCCTCTTGCCCCAGGACTATGGCCCATGTATTAGACCTGGCTTCAAGACTATGAAAAGGCTCTGTTCATGCCTTTTCCCCTCTACGGTTGAGTTTATGAGTCTACCGAAAGGATTATGCTTATGGTGTTCGTTTATTGAACAAACAACCGACAGTCAGACCACACGCAAGGTGAGTGTGTAGCCTATGTACCTCCCAGGCTGGTAGTTAACTGCAGCCAAATTGACGAACGGCTGGGTGGTCGCCATTCGTATAGTCGAACACGTTGCGATGGCCATCTTGTTTAGTCAAACACATCCAGCAGTGTTTTGTCGAAGAGCACATGGAACTAAAATCGGACACGCGACGGCACAAACACCGCTGGGACTCCAGTTAGGTTCGACACAAATTGCACGAATGGAGCAACGTTCGGTAGAAATAATCTACCGAACCAGATACACTCACTAACTCTGTGCACAAACAGCTCCGTTCAACCATTTGAACATTACTTCGAGTGTTTGAAATAGACCAGCCGCACAGCCTAATTCTCTGGAACTATTTTGGGCATGAAGCCATACGTGCGGTTGGTCAAAAGGAGACTTCCATGGAATTCCTGAACCCCTGCTCTGATCTGGGTGATTTTTGCATATGTTGTTCACCCAGATCAGGGCTATCCGGGGATGTGTTTTTAAGGTACTTTTTGGAGTTTCATAAAATTGTATGTTTTTCTGTGCTTGGAGATAATTGGGTTAGACTAGTACAGTTCCTGATCCAATTATCTCCCAAGCACAGAGGAGGGATTCTATTGTTTGTGTATGGGAGTGTCTCGCTGTATGACTCTGTTTTTATTGGTGTCACCCTTGTTGGGAAACTTGCATAAAAGGCCAGCTGTGGCTTCCATTAAACAGATTAATTTTACCCCTTCATGAAGTCTTGGCTCATGTTTGGGGGATTGGAGAACTACATACACTCTGGGGATTGCTATATCACAATACTCCCCTGAGTATAATCACTAGCTCTTCTAAGAGCTGTTCCTGCTACGCTCTCTGGACTAGTAGAGGCCTACCCACTGGAAGCTGGATCCTGGTCTTGGGTCCAGGGTGGGTGGAGGACGGCGAGACCCCAACCAAGCTTTTGGCGGTTCATGGGGTTTAAGGTGGTTATGGTGCTCCAGTGCAGTGCTTATGGTACTCGCAAGTCTGCAGCGATTGACGGAGGTACCCGGTTGGGGTGCCAGGCGGGCCATCACACTTACCAAGTTGAATTAATTTATGGATGACAAAATACGCCGCTGAGCAATTGGCAAACCATGAGACCATTATTATTCTTGTTTGTTTGTTAATGGCTTGCAAGATGAGATAGTGTCTCTAGTTTCAGGCAAACAGGTTTTGAAAAAAGCAGCAAGTCTCTAAGATGCATTTGAAAAGTCCAAGGAGTTTGGCCAGATCCAATCTCTTCCTAAGTAATGAAGGAGTAATCTAAGTGCCAGCAACATCTGACCAGTTCTTAAAGTGCAGCCCCAACCACAGTCAGCCATCCACACTGATTCTTGTATGGTAAGCAGCCATATCATGGAAATGAAGTCTTTCCTAAATTCTTCTACATTCCCCAGTTGTCTTCACTGTTTATGGAGCCTGAGTCTGAGCCTTCAGGGGAAGTTTTGCTGGATTCTTCACCCTTGAAGTGGTAGCATTTGCCGAGAAGAAAAAAACAGAGAATCCAGCTGTATTTCATATTATTCCTAGCTGATAAGAATTTTGATTTCAGTTTTTCAACATCATCCAATGCACTGGCTTCCATATTTGCCATTTGATCAAACCCATGCCTTCATTATTTCACGAAGAGATACACCATGGATTCCTGGGGAATCAGACTCCTCTCCCTGGAGTTTCTCAGGACTCATTGAATATTGCTTTTATCTAATATTGTATGTGGTGTTTCCTGTGACTACATTTATGGCTGCAATTGGCTTTACAAAACTAGGGGAAACACTCAATGTTAAACAAGAGTTGGGGGAATTATTACAATGTATGTTCTGGAACCAAGAATACATGGAATAATGTACAATGTACTTAAAGTAGAGCAATTACCAAGAACGTTGTAGATCAGGGCTTCCCAAACTTTTATGGGCAGAGACCCACTTTTCAAAATGGTAATCAGCTTCAGAGGCATACAATTGGCACACCATGGCAAACCGCTTTAGAGGCATACAATTGGCAAACTATAGCAATCCGCTCTAGATGCATACAATTGGCATACCATGGCAATCAGCTTTAGATGCATAAAATTGGTACATCATGGCAATCAGTTTTAGAGGCATACAATTGGAACATCATGGCAGCTTTAAATACATAAGCTTGGCACACCATGGCAATCAGCTTTAGATGCATAAACTTGGCACATCATGGCAATCAGCTTCAGAAGCATACAATTGGCACACCATGGCAATCAGCTTTAGATGCATAAAATTGGCATAACATGGCAGTTTTAGAGGCATAATTTTGGTATATCATGGCAGTTTTAGAGGCAGAAACTTTACACATCATGGCAATCAGTTTTAGAGACATATAAGGGAGAGAAGGGTTACAGTGGGGAGGGTAGGCAGAGAAGGGGTTTCAGTGGGGAGGGTAGGCAGAGAAGGGGTTACAGTGGGGGGGAGGAGGGCAGGCAGAGAAGGGGTTACAGTGGGGAGGGTAGGCAGAGAAGGGGTTACAGTAGGGAGGGTAGGCAGAGAAGGGGTTCCAGTGGGGGGGGGGCAGGTAGAGAAGGGGTTACATTGGGGTGGGGGGGCAGAGAAGGGCTAAAGTGGGGAGGGGAGGCAAAGAAGGGGTTACGTGGGGGTAGGCAGAGAAGGGGTTACAGTATGGAGGGTAGGCAGAGAAGGGGTTACAGTGGGGCAGGCAGAGAAGGGGTTACAGTGGTGGGGTAGGCAGAGAAGGGATTACAGTGGGGGTAGGCAGAGAAGGGGTTACAGTGGGGGCAGGCAGAAGGGTTACAGTGGGGGTAGGCAGCGAAGGGGTTACAGTGGGAGGGTAGGCAGAGAAGGGGTTACAGTGGGGGGTAGGCAGAGAATGGCTTACAGTGGGAGGCAGGCAGAGAAAGGGTTACAGTGGGGGGGTAGGCAGAGAAGGGGTTACAGTGGGGGGGAGAGGGGCAGGCAGAGAAGGGGTTACATTGGCGTGGGGGGGGCATTGTTTGGGCTCTGTGCCCTACCTTCTTTAAACATCCCTGGTGGTCCAGTGTCCCTGGTGGTCCAGTGGGTTAACTCTCCGGTCTGAGCTCCGCCGGGTGCAGAGCTGCAGACAGTGTAATAAAAGTCTCGCAAGCTCCCAGAGTGTTGCCATGGTGACGCTCTGGGTGCTCGCGAGACTTCTATCACACGGTCTGCAGCTCTGCACCCAACGGAGTTGCAGACCGGAGGTGCTGGGCAGACTGATTGGAGGGAGCCCGACGGCATACAGGGCAAGCCGCTGGATTCCCTCCTGATCAGTCTGCTTGCCTGACTCCCCGCGGCCCTGGATGTGTGGGTCAGCGCGACCCACTGGGAATCGCTCTGCGACCCACCTGTGGGTCACGACCCACACTTTGGGAACTGCTGTTTTAGATTATGTATACAGAGCAAAACATGAGCAATCACCATAGCAGCCATTCTAATCTTTTTTTTAATTTTTTTTATTCTTTATTTTGTTGAGGCATGGAAAAGTACAGTATGTTGCATACACAGCAATAATTCAGTGGTTATACACAATACACTAATCTGTATCTCAGCCTCTTTTTTATTTTTTAAATCTAACATGGTCTTGCGGAATATATCAGTAGACGGTCACAAATAAACAGTGTAAACAAACAGTGTATAAACAAGCTATGCAAATTGCCATTATGACGAGATGTGAGTGTTTAGTTTAAACATCAAGTGTGATCTATGCATGAGTAGACGGTATAATCCTAAGAAATTTGTAGCGGAGCTCTAGTCCTGACAAGGACTTTTCTCCACTGGATCCGTGGTAACTGGAAGTCTGGAACAAGGCGCTGCAAAGTGAATAGCTCTAGCCCTCCCTAGTTACTGGACGACACACAGTTCTAGAAGTACAACTGTTTTTTATTGTGCCAAACACAACCTTTTATACTCAGACCCCAGCATGGGGTCTCCATACAAAAAACGAACGAGGGGGTTACGGGCAAGTAATAAACCGAATGGAGAGAGGACCAAGTCTGCTACAAAATTACAGTGACACAGGTCTAACATTGTAAACAAAAACGTTATGGTATATGCTAGTCAAGACCATGGTATTGAGATTGTTCCTAGATGTTTGGACCATTGGGTATAGTAACTAGAACATTGCAGTAGCCACATAAAATCTTAGGTACAAAAGAGACAGCAGTGAGCAGTGAGTCTGGGAAGGCAAACAACTTTGTCGAGAGTGTTGCGTCATAAAAATAAATGAATACATAAATTAAAACAGATTCGGAGTCCTAGGCCTTGTGCTTTTAGCTTAAGGGGGAGGTATGCTCCATGTTGGCTATGATTATTATTGTGAATAACGCCCCTGTATTCAGACCTTGGGCCAACTGTTGGGGCATATCTCGATGAGGCAGGGGGGGATATTTGGACATTTAGACCAAGCGCTCTGCACAGAGTCAAGAAGCACAGAGTCAAGAGTTTTACTCACTGTTTTCCAGTGCTGCTCCGGTATCGCCTCAACTGGCCCTGCTCCGCTTTTGTGGCTGAGATTCTCAAACTTGATGATTTCAGCCAATATAATGCTTTCCTGTAGGAAAGTATTGGGAAGCTATTGCGCATGTGCAGCAAAACCCTGCACTGGACCAATCAGCATCTCCTCATAGAGATGTATTGAATCAATGCATCTCTTTGGGGAGTGTTCAGTTGAATGTCAGTGCAGCGCACTCTGCAACACTGACCCAGGATGCAACTCTCATGGAGATCTGTGTGACTGCCACTAGAGGTGGTATAGGCAGTAATGAAAAGGCAGTGTTTACATTAAAAAGCCTGCAAGAACAGGCAATAGACACCAAAACAACTATATTAAGCTGTAGTTCTTGTGACTATAGTGTCCCTTTACGTTTATCAGGGGACAAACCAGTCAAACCAAGAGCAAACTCCTATATATTTTATAATTTATATTTTATAATTTATATAGTTGTCTAAGTTGAAAAAAAGACTAAAGTCTATAATGTTCAACCATAAATCCCATAATTTTATGCTGTTGATCCTAAAGAATGCAAAAAATCCAATTGTAGCCATTTCCAATTATGCCACAAAAAGGGGAAACAAATCCTTATTGACTCTATAATGGCAATCAGAATTATCCTTAATCAGTGTAGCATTTTCCAAGACTGTACAGTTTTGCCACAATAAAAGAAATGTATAATTTATGTTGGGTTTTGGTTGTCACGCCTTCTCCAGAACCAACGTGTATCTTGGCGTTTTGATTTAGTAAAATAATCAAGACTTTAGCGATGAAATGGAAGAACTGGTGCCTGCAATCCAAACTAACGTCTTCTTGACCTGGTACATGGCCTCTACATCATTTTTATTCTATTTGGAAAATAAATAAAACTATTTCATTACCCAGCATAATCCTTCTTTCAGCTTCACCAGTAAAGGGGATGTCATTATTTTGTATGGAAACAAAAAACAAAAACAAAAAAGTAGCTCAATCAACATTGTTTTAAAAAGAAAATAATCTCATATAAAACTAATTTAACTATGTTTTGAACCTCATGACACTGGAAGCAACAAATGACAAAAACAGCTCTATGATTATATTAAAAGTATGTTTGCTATCTGTTTGTCCCTCAATCACAACTATTAACTAAACCATGGATTGTTGGATAAGTTGGCAAAGAAAGTCCTATATTTATGACACATTGAAAAGCTTGGTTCAAGCTAGTAAAATAACAGGTTTTTTCCAATTTGTTAATTTTGCTTGACATTACTTAATTCCCTAGGCAGTGGATTTTAGTGGAGAAATATAGTGAAATATTTTTTTTCCCCAACTTTTTGGTAAACAACAGAAATGTGTGATAAAGGGTTATTTTAAAGGCCTTGAGTCTTTTTGTTTTTCAGCTTATATTACAATATGACATAGTAGAGAACTAGAGAAATTCCAATGTATTCTTCCCGATAACGCTAGGAAATAATAATTGGACCTCACATGTGGAGTAAGGGTTAAGAGAGAGACATTAATAGAAGACATAATTCTGTTTCTAAGGTTGACCTGAGATCCCTATTGGATTTATGTATTTATTGTACAACAACTGCATAGCATAAGGTTTAGCAAGACAAGGGGAAAACATGCATTCTAGCAGTAATTGGAGTGACTCATTGTTTGTTAATTCATCCTCCTTGCAGCACAAGGGAAGCCATTGTCCACCTATTATTTAAGGTGCACTTTGAGAAAGTCTTCATGTCAAAGCACATTGTTCTACTATAGTTATACTGTGTACTTTACTTGCATTATTTATTGCTTTGGATTATACTATATTTAATATTGATAAGTAAGACGTTTTATTTTCCATATGAGTTAATTGTGCTTGTTTTTTCCACTTTTATTTCCACCCGAAGACACATAAGGTTATTCACTAAAGTATGAATTTAAAGTGAATTCAAACTGTATTTCAAATTTAGGGCCAAAATGTGAGTTGTTAGTAGTTCTATCACTTAAGATAAATAGAATTGTTATGAAAGGCTGTTATGGAATATGTATTTTAAATTTCAGTGCAATAAATTAATATATATGGAATTACTGTATGGACTACTATGTCTTATGTAATTGCCAAGTCTAGTTCCTATCTGCTGCTGGCCACCATGGCTGATGAGAGCACCAGTAGCTCACGCAGTGGACATATTTGATGGCTTATTGCACACATTCAAGATTATTTAAATAAGATTTTTTTTAGGATTATCCTAGGACTCTGTTTTGTAATCTTGTGTGTGTAAGAGTACAATAGAATTGATGGCTTCTGGCAGATTAATTTGTTGAGAGACGTATGCGTATGATGGTAAAAAAAAAGATGGTGCTGAAGAGAGACAGTTTAAGGTACATCTATCTCCCTAACTGTTCTCCCCTCACTCACCTCCACACACGTGGACATGTTTCAATGTGTACTATTTTAATATCACAGTACCTGTACATATGTCCTGTGATACAGACTGGCTACACTATGAAATATTATATTTGTTTGTTTTCTACATTGTTCTGTAAAGAGCGGCAACTTAGTAGTGACTGTACACTTTCACATGATTATTAGCCTTAAAACCACAAGTGATTTCCTGATATAATAGTTGAGAGTGCAGCCTGCAAATAATCATTGTAGCGTATTCGGAGCCACCCTAATTCCATGCTGCTTGAATGCGGCTATGAAGTGTAACATACAAAGGTTACTGTACATGTGGGCCGAGGAATGGGCAGAGATCCTGAAGGAAAAATGAAGTCCGGACAGAAAAAATGTTTCTCTGCTTTGTGAAAAAACAACTGTGGAACAAGGTAGGTAGGGCTTTCAAGGTTATTAAACACAATCTGCTATAATTATTTCATAACATTATTACATTCTTGCATTAGTAGCATAGTAAATGTACTTTTATCACTTGTTCTGTCAGAGTGCTTACTGGCATTCTTTTTGTGGTTAGATTTCTTCAAGTGTCTTATAAAAAACAACTGAGTGGAAACACTTAAACATATCTCTCCCAAGCTCTTGTTGCAGAAACTCAGAGCTTATATTTTTGAAAGTCATTGGTGGAACTCACCATAAGCAAGTGAGCCAGGAAACCTCTGTATGCTTGAGAGCCCAAAAGGTGTAACTAAGGACTATTTCTCGTGAAATCAGTACTTTTATGAAATAGGACAAAGGGGAGCTTCAGTTAACCCGTCTGTAATACACTTCGAAACTACCCACTATATTAAGAGACCTACTTGGATTCTGTACTTATCTGGAACTAGTTTGATGCCTATTCCCTGCAAGGCTAAATGTGCTTAGAATGACGTGTGCACAAAAAGGATTTTCACTTCGGTTCTGTCATTTGTTCAGAATATTAGTTGTTTGAAATTTGGTGACATGTCTATTCCATTTGTCTAAAATTTAGTACAACTTTTATTTACCGAATTTTAATCGACTGTTAACCCCTTCAGGACGGAGTCAATAGTGCACGTTCTGATCAAAACAAAACGTACACAAAAACTGGAATTTGCGCTGTATGTCTGTTCAACCGTAATTCACCGCTGTCACATTAAAGGCACCCACACTTATTATATATCATTTTGTTCAGGAGAAACAGGGCTTTAATTTATCATTAACTATTCATATATGGAACATAATTTATTATGAATAAAATTTTAAAAAATGTGAGAAAATAAGATTTTTTTAAAAATGTGTATTTCCGTCTGACATTTTAGCTGTGAAATGTCTCACGAGTACAACAGTACCCCCCATTAACAGGTTTTATGGTGTTTTAGAAAGTTACAGGGTCAAATATAGAACGTTCCATTTTCAAATTGAAATTTGCCAGATTAGTAATGTTACCTTTGAGACGGCGTAGTAGCCCAGGAATGAGAATTACCCCATAATGGCATACCATTTGAAAAAGTAGACAACCCAAGGTATTGAAAGTGGGGTATGTTTAGTCTTTTATAGTAGCCACTTAGTCACAAACACTGGCCAAAGTTAGCGTTCATATTTGTTTTTGTGTAAAAAAGAAAATAATTTATATTTGGCCAGTGTTTGTGTCTAAGTGGCTACTAAGAAAGACTGGACATACCCCACTTGTAATACCCTGGGTTGTCTACTTTTGCAAATGGTATGCCACCATGGGGGTGATTCTCATTCCTGGGCTACCATACGCTTTCAAAGGCAAAATAATGAAATCTGGCAAATTTCAATGTCAATAAAATGAAATGCAAGCCTTATATGTGACTCTCTAACTTTCCAAAACACCATAAAACCTGTACATGGGGGGTACTGTTATTCTTGGGAGACTTCACTAAACACAAATATTAGTGTTTTAAAACAGTAAAACATATTACAACAATAATATAGTCCATAAAAGTGCCGTTCGTTTGTAAAAAAAATGCAAAAAACGTCACTTTTACTTAAAATATCATCATTGTAATGCAATTTACCAGTTTGAAACACTAATATTTGAGTTCAGCGAAGTCTCCCGAGTAAAACAGTACCCCCTATGTACAGGTTTTTTGGTGTCTTGGAGTATTACAGGG